ACAAAATCGGGCCTTGATCCTCCGTTGAGTGCCTTGGTGAGAGAGCTCAAGATGGCATCGTCATGCTGTGCGTCGCTTCGAAATTGGGCAATCGTCTGCGCCACGAGGACGTTGAACCAGTCCAAACTTTCTGGCTGGTGACTATCGACATTGTAGTAGGTTTTGCTGAGGATGGAACCGATGGTAAGATTCGGGGGATTCCGGAGGACGCTCGACTTCTTCCGATTAAGCGTCTGCTGGCCATGCTTTGCGTTCGCCGTCCGAAGACTGAGAAGAGAGCGCTTATGAGTCAGTGTCCTTGACCGACGCTCTGTTGCTCTCAGTGATGCTGTCACCTCTGGTGAGGGAGGGTCGCCGAAGATGAAGAATTTGATGAAGGCAGTAAGAACGAGAACCACTGATAGCTGGCCAAGAATGAGGCCTTGCGTGAAGGAGAGGCTATAACGCTGTAAATTAGTATAGAGTACTCTTCAGAGAAACGTGTGTATGGGACAAGAACTGACGTTGGTTCTGCCTTTGCTGGGCAAGTGTCAGCGGCAAGGCCTGCCATCGTGATGGTGGCCAAAGATGAATCGATCGTCCAAGTAGCTTAGTAGACAGTATGTCTCTGAAATGTGCTCACCGGGGACGAAGTACAGGATCATCGACGAGGACTTGACCGTCGTAAGATTTGTGGCTTTGGAAGGTGGATCTTAGTGAAAGAAGCCTGTTAGATGCTGCTTGAATGCCGCGATGAAGTGCCATCCGGCCTTGAGGTGTTTGACTAACAGTTTTGACACTGTGGAGTGGCCTGGACGTCACTGCTCGCAGGACCCACAGCTGACCCGAGGAGGCTAGTCACTGTATCAAGCACAATCATCCCGCGGGAGTTTCCACTGTTATGGTGAAGTATATAGTACCACTCAACATGTATGCAATATCACAACAATCAAGTCATAGAAAGATCTAACGAAGAAGACCTATTTCTTCCAATCCTTGTTTATAAGTTGGCATTCCGACTCGAGCGCTGGGAAATCTGTGGTATACCCAGCTTAGAAAGCTGTTAGAGTTGTGGGGGGACCTAATGTCGAAGGTACTTTACCAAGGATGAGGTACCTAAGGTACGCAGGCGTGGTAGGCACGCAGGCCAGGGAGCTCAGGCAAGCTGTCCCAGTCAACTCCGCCATCTGCGAACGACGTCGTTTCCGCTCATCCAGCGATTCGTCTTTTTTCATCGAAGACACAACACCGCCGAATACCACGCTAAGAGAATTCACGGATTTCATTGAGCATCGGTTACTGTTCTCAAATCATCGCCACCACCAGCCGAAGGACGTCTCCCATCCTTTCCTCCATCGAACACACTTCAACACGCATTCGACCTTTGCGCTCTGCGCCGCTGGCCAACATGGACGTGGCACAAGCAGTGGCTGGCTATGTCTCTCGTATGATTCAGTCCGCTGATTCTTCATCGTCGACACAGTCGGCAAAGATGAAGGTTCTGCTGCTGGACCGCGAGACAGTTCCTATTGTGTCCACTGCCATCACTCAGTCAGCACTGCTGAATCACGAGGTCTATCTCATTGATCGTATTGATAACGCCAACAGAGAGAAGATGCGTCACTTACGATGTTTATGTCTTGTACGACCATCGCCAGACTCCATTCAACTCCTTATTGATGAACTACGAGAGCCGAAGTACGGAGAGTATCATCTGTATTTCACCAACGTCGTCAAGAAGTCGTCACTAGAAAGACTTGCCGAGGCTGACGACCATGAGGTTGTGAAGCTGGTTCAGGAGCAGTTTGCCGACTTCATCGTCATCAACCCCGATCTGTTCTCACTTGGACTCAGCCTTCCCCATCAGCGTCTGTGGGGCAGCAACCCAGACACGTGGAACCCAGACGCCCTGCAACGAAGTGCTGACGGACTTGTTGCTGTGCTTCTTGCACTCAAGAAGAAACCGCTGATCAGATACTCCAAGACCAGCCCCCTAACTAAGAAATTGGCTACAGAAGTGCGATATCGTATTACACAAGAGGAGCAGCTTTTCGACTTCCGGAAGGTGGACACGCCTCCTCTCCTGCTCGTGCTCGACCGGCGCGAGGATCCAGCAACACCACTTCTCACGCAATGGACATATCAAGCCATGGTGCATCATCTTCTTGGTATTACCAACGGCCGAGTTGACCTAAGCGATGTACCTGATATTCGCCCGGAGCTAAAGGAGATTGTCTTGTCGCAAGATCAGGATCCTTTCTTCAAGAAGAACATGTATCTCAACTTTGGTGACTTGGGCGGCAACATCAAAGACTACGTGGAGCAATACCAGTCAAAGACACAAAACAGCTCAAATATTGAGTCAATATCGGACATGAAGCGCTTCATTGAGGAATACCCTGAGTTCCGCAAGCTATCTGGAAATGTTAGCAAGCACGTCACCTTGGTTTCAGAGTTGAGTAGACGTGTTGGAGCCGAGAACCTACTCGAAGTCAGTGAGCTGGAACAAAGTCTCGCTTGCAACGACAACCATGCGGCTGATCTCAAGGTATTATCCGACAATCATAGTACGGCTTCCCAGCGCAGATACCAGAAGCTGACTCTTCCAACAGAATATTCAAAAGCTTATCCAGTCTCCAAAGGTGACAAGCGACAGCAAGGTTGGCCTAGTCGCCCTTTATGCTCTACGATATGAGCGCAATCCGTCCAACGCACTTCCCATGCTCGTGGACCTCTTGGTGGCCGCTGGCGGGGTCTCAGTCCGGCGAGCAGACCTCATCTCCAAGCTTGTGAAGTATCAATCTTCATTGCAGCAATCACAGGCTCAAGCAGGCATTGCAGACATTTTCGAGGGGGGTGGCATATTTGGAGGAGCTGGTGCCAGGTTTAAGGGGCTAAAGGGCGTCGAGAACGTTTACACACAGCATAGCCCCTTACTTGAAAGTACGCTTCAGAATCTGATTCGGGGACGACTTAAAGAACAGCAGTATCCCTTTGTTGAGGGCGGAGGAACTACTCGAGACAAGCCGCAAGACGTTATTGTCTTCATAGTCGGTGGGGCAACGTACGAGGAGGCCAAGATGGTGGCGACAATCAACGCATCTTCGCCAGGTGTGCGCTTGGTACTAGGAGGCACTACAGTCCACAACTCGGCTACCTTCTTGGAAGAGGTAGATGATGCTGTATCTTCGTGGCCCGAGACGCAGAAACCTGGCACAAGGCGATAGACGGAGAGCAGTCGATTTGGGACATTCGAGATCTCAGTGACCATCGGCAATTCTCATGTCTGCATGTACTCATAGGCCCTTTCGCAAGCAACACACAAGGTCACCGGGCATCAATTTGTTGTGCGCCAAGATGCTCTTCAACTAGGCTAATTGTGCGTGGAATGAATGTCTGTACTCTATTTGCAATTTGGCAGAGTGCGGGAGAAAGGACCACAAGCCCCTCTGTGACGTACTCGTATGGCGCAAGGAAAGACGAAGACGGAGGAGGATTAGGGACATGACTTATCACTGGGAGTCTTGGCTGCGACCATCAAATATGCTATTCCCCAGCAGATATAAACGCTCAGCCCCCTTTGGGGTCGGCCCGCCTCATTGGGGGCCATCTTCGCCCTACGGGCAAGCTGGTCTACGAGGGTCAATATCGAGTTTTTATTACGTATATTACTTAACAAACTTCACAACTAATAATAGCCGGCCGTAATCTAAGATACTAATAATCCCGCTGTAATATATTAATCGCCTTCTAAATCGCTGAAAACCACCTTTTATTTTCTAACCTTTCTAATAACTCTAAATTTCTCTTTTTAGTTTTCCTAAATCTCTTATTTTATTATTATAATACTAGGGTATTAATTATATATTAAAATTAATTAAGTATTTAACTAAGGTTATATTATATAAATTTAGTATTAATAATAATAATAATTATAAAAGTATTTACGTTTCGGATTTTTAAATTAATAATAACTAACTTATACTTTTTAAATAATTTTTATAAATTAAGATCGTTAAGTATAATATTAATAAGATTAAATTATTAAATATACGCTTTAAAATAGCTTTATAAGTCAATAAGTTAGTATTTTAATATTATATTCTTAAAATAAATAGTTCAATAATAATAATAATAATAATAATAATAATAATAATAATATAATAATAATAATAATATAATAATAATAATAATAATAATAATAATATAATAATAGTAATAAAAAACGAGATAATAAATATATAGTATAAGTATAAGTTAACGTATACTAAATATTAATAATTAGTATTATTCTTAATAATAATAACGAGGGTATTTTTAATATTATTATTATATTATTATTATAAGCTATTATTATTTAAAAAGGCCATGAACTTAACTAAGTATAAATAAGCTTATGAAATAATTATATACTTAATATTATTATTAATCCGTAGTTATAAACTTTATAAGAGGAAAATTAAAAAGATAAAAAAATTATAAAAATAGTTTAATAAGATAGTAGGAGTATTTATTAATATTATATATTAATATTATTTAACCGATATTGAGAACCGCCCGAGTAGCTAGTAAAGGTAGAAATATAAAATAAATAAACGCTCAGCCATTATGCTTTCTAAGATTGGACGAGAAAGTAAGCAATGTTTATTTGGTGCGATATTATTGTTCATAGTTTCATGTGATATACGGAATAAGGTAGCGATGAGTTTGTTGAGAGGCTCATAGCACTCCTTAGAAGATGCTCATTGGCGACGATAGCCCGTTGGTCAATTGAAGAAGCTACAACTAAAGTACCCCCCTGCAGTCGGTGTTTGTAACCGCCGTGCACCGATCATGTCACTACACTGTGGCACCAAGGGGCCAAAAAAATCAATGGGGGAGCAATGGCGCAGAGGAACTCTGGATACAAACTAGGAGAACTTCAGCCTTCAAACTCGCTTCTAGTTCCCAGGGCACGAGCTTGTCAGTCGCATTTTCATCTGCTGGAGCGCATGTAGTCTCTTAGCCCGTTAACATAGGCGATGCGATCCCTTTCAGCAGCCTTGAAGCTGCGCCCACGTCCTGCTGCCAGAAGCTTGCGACAGCTCGGTAGGCGCGGCTTCGCAGACGTCGCAGAAGGCACCAGGTCAGTCTGCAGCATACCGAGAACATACACCTCTCGCGCGCCAGTCGCACATAGCTTACGAACGTTCCAGACCATTCGATGTCGTTGTAGTGGGAGGCGGCCACGCGGGCGCAGAAGCATGCGCAGCGGCTGCCAGAACCGGCGCGCGAACAGCTTTGGTCACACCGAAGATCGAGAACCTCGGCACCTGCTCCTGCAATCCATCTTTTGGCGGCATCGGCAAGGGGATCATACTTCGCGAAATCGATGCTCTTGACGGGTTGGCAGGCAGGGTCATCGACAAGGCTGGCGTGCAGTTCAGGGTCTTGAATCGGACCAAGGGGCCGGCTGTTTGGGTATGTAAGCTCCATGCAGAGTTCAATTTCTCGGAGGAATCTTTGTAGTCGCTAACCCGTCAATTTTTACAGGGACCCCGAGCGCAGATTGATCGAAAACTATACCAGAAGCACATGAGAGAAGAGCTGGAAACGTACCCAAACCTGTCCATCGTGCTAGGTAGTGTATCCGATATCGTCACGAGTGAGAGCGCAGACGCCACGAGTACCGTCCAGAGAAAGATTACAGGAGTGCGTCTTGAGTCTGGCGAGGTTCTCCCTACACGCGCAGTAATCATTACGACGGGCACGTTTCTGAGCGCCGAGATACATATCGGCATGAAAGCGTATCCCGCGGGACGGATAGGAGAAGATGCATCTTTTGGCTTAAGCAAGTCGTTGAATGACAGTGGTTTTCGCCTAGGAAGGCTCAAGACAGGAACGCCGCCGCGTATCGCCAAAGACAGCATTGACTTTTCGCAGCTGGAGAGGCAGCCCGGAGACGACCCGCCGATGCCGTTCAGCTTCCTGAACGATAGAGTGGCCGTGGAGGAGCAATTGTCCTGCTGGGTCACTTATACGAATGAGGCGACGCATGACATTGTAAGGGCCAACCTGGATAAGACGATACACATCCGAGAAACCATCAGGGGCCCGAGATATTGCCCCTCGCTAGAGGCGAAAATCACCCGGTTCTCTGACAAAGACAAGCATCTTGTCTGGCTGGAGCCCGAAGGTTTCGACAGCGACCTCATATATCCCAACGGCTTGTCCATGACCGTACCGGAAGAGGCTCAGGGACAGATTCTGCGCTCGATTCCAGGCCTGGAGAAGTGCGTCATGACACAAGTGGGATACGGTGTCGAGTACGACTACATAGACCCTCGGAGTCTCAAGGCGACGCTCGAAACGAAGCAAATTAGCGGCCT